CTGGATCTGGATGCCGGCCCACGGCTACATGCCCATCCCGAGAGAGGAGCTGGCGGAACAGCAGGGCGGACAGGACTCCATGGGAAATCTGCTCCGATACGGCTAAACAGTTCGTCCACCGAGACTACACCACCGCAACAGCAGCAACTACAGCAACAGCAGCAACAACACCAGCAACTACAGCAGCAGCAACTATAGCAACAGCAGCAACAACAGCAACTAACAACAACTACAGTAGGGCGGACAGGACTCTATGGGAAACCTGCTCCGCTCCGATACGGCTAGACAGACCATCCACCGAGACAACACCACCGCAGCAACAGCAACTACAGCAACAACTACAGCAACAGTAACTACAGCAGCAGCAACTACCGTAACAGCAGCAACTACAGCAACAGTAACAACAACAACAATTACAGGGCGGACAGAACTCCATGGGAAACCTGCTCCGATACGGCTAGACCTCCTCCGACAACACCACTGCAACACCAACCGCAGCAACAAAAGCAACAGCAACCACAGCAGCAGTCACCAGACAAGGGACCACCAAGGGGAGGAGATAATTTAGAGGACATATAGTTGAAGGAGAACTGACCCAGGCATTGACACCCAACCACTTGTCTCATTTTTCATGCCGGTTTTTTCTAGAATTTGCGAGAGGGGGATTTTTTGGATGTTTTTTTTTTTAAATAGTTTGTTCGGGGTTGTTTTTGTTTGGGGGTTTTTTGGAAAAGAAGGGGGGGGGGGAGGAAGGGTGATGGAGAAAAGACCAAGTGAGATGCTGCTACTAGTAAGCCAACCAACCACCTGTCTGAAATTTTCGTATGGGTTTTGGGTTTTTTTAGGGGGTTTTTTTCCGAAGGAGCGGTGTGGAAGGAGAAAAGGACGGCGGGAGAGAAAGAAGAATTAGGAGACGGTGAACATCAGTGTTTAAGTACCGTACTACACCATTGCCTCAACCTGGGTAGAATAAAGAAACGACAGTTCCGAAATCTTCTCATTATCATCACGGCATTCCTTATCTTTTTTTGTTGTTGTTCGTTGTTGTCGCCATTATTACTTTAATTATCATCCTCATTATTATAATGAGTATCAAACCTGTTACAAGTTTTATTATTACCCCCCATGAAACTTTGTTTGTTCATTTGTTGGAGTAAAGAGAAGCACATCGACACAATAATGGTCATTTAGTGCTGGGGAACAAAAAGACAGACAGACAGACAGACAGAAACAACAGAGGGGAAAGTAAAGAAGTAGGAGGACCTACCACTGGCACCCTCCAACCGCCCGCTCCTTGAAACTGACAGACAAAATAATATATCTTTTCTAATCATAAGTAGCGCACACACACACCACACACACACACAAACACATACACAGCGTTACAAATATTACTAGCCCACCCAGAAGACAGCAGACGATGATGAAAACCACCACACACCACCCATGTCTACCCTACAAAAGTTGCTGGAACAAAACCACTTCCAAAGATATTAGAAAAATTATAATTTTTAACCCTTTTTTTAAACTACATCAATATGAGAGGAAAGGAAAGGAAAGCTGACGAACAAAATCCAGTACCAAACGCTTCAACTTCAACCAAGTTTGGTCTTATCAGTCAGACAGCAAATCACAACTCGGAAAAAAACCCAAAACCGAAAAGGAAAATTGGAAAACCCGCATAAATTATAAACAGACCCGAGACGATATTATCACAAGTTTTTGAGAAGTGTCGCAGAAAAATATAATATTTCAAGCAGGAAACTTACTATGTTTGCACCACTGAGTGGAGACATTTTTTTCTCTTTATTTTGGCATACTCTTTTTTTTTCTTCTTCGTTCTTTTCTTGTTGTTTTCGGTCTTAATTAAGAAGAAGCAGTGATTTGTTTGGTGGGGGGGGGCA